ATTTGCAGCCCATGACAAAAAATCAGGTCTAGTGTGTGTGTATGACCATGAGTGGGTCCATTAACACGTTGGGACATGCTAAATGAGTCAATAAGATCTAAGAAATCCTTTACCAAAGGTTTGTCAGGACAGCAGACATGAATATTAAAATCACCCAGCAAGAGTATTTTTCCATATCTGCAGGAGACGTCTGCCAGGAAGTTTGCAAATTCATTAAGAAAATCCTTGTTATAGGGTGGTGGACGGTAAATGAGTGCACATAACAATGGAGGGGAACGTCCCAATTCAAACAAACTTAATTCAAAAGACAATGGAGTTGATTGATGGGTAATCGGTGTGCAGACAAGATCTGATTTGAATATAGTCAATAGACCTCTGCCCCGGCGCTGTGCTCTTGGAATGTTAATGAAGGAGCATCCAGGAGGTAACATTTCAACAATAGCAGCTGAATCTCCAGGGGTTAACCATGATTCAGTGGCGCATAGAACAGACAAGCTATTGTTCAGGAAGAATTCCTTCAGAATAAAAGTTTTATTTCCAACCGATCTGGCGTTGATCAGTGCAAAGCGAGTCGACTGCTTTCCCGATGGAAGAGAAAGTCCGGCTCCATCAAATCTTGCAATATACTGTAGGTTGGCCAGATTTATTCCCCGCTGATTGTGCCGTCCAAAACGAGAGCGGCGAAAACGAGAGCGGGAGGGCAACCCGGTGGAACCCATAGAAACAACAGGCACCAAGCACCCACCTCGAGCATCAGGGGAAATCCGAAAGCACCGCTCCTTTCCCCATACGCAGTAATCTGATGTGATTAGGCGATCTCCACATCTCCCCCGATTGTGTGCCGCAAGCTGGTCAGCAGCGGTCGGCCGCCGGATCATCCTCGGTTCCGAAGCACGCATACAGCGTTTGGCTCCGTGAGCACCCAGCTGGAGAATCATCCCCACACCCCACGCACTCGCGCAGCTCTCAGCTCCGTGAGCTCCGAACTGGCCGGTCATCCACACCTCAGACACATCCATGTAACATTCAGCTCCATGTCCTCCCGGTAGCAGCGAGATCAGCTCGACTCGATTGAGATGCCGATGGATCCGGGACATCACAGTCACGGAGCAGCGCTCCGATATGGCTTCGCCACGCCGGATCCTTCGGAGCTGAACAAAGAAGCCGCCTCGTTTCCCCCGCTTCTTTTTCCACGGTCTCCGGGGCAGCGGTAAACCGACGGGCAGCACAAGCCCGGAAGCTGGGCTAACGTCAGTCTCCAGCGGCGGTGGGAAAGCGTGGAGCAACACAGGCTCTGCAGCTGGGTTCGCGTCAGTCTCCAGCGGCGGTGGAAAAAGGTGTCCCGCATTAGAGTTCTGAAAATCATCCATTCTAGAGCGGATCGAGAGCAGGAAGTCCCGATCATACACCAGCAGAGAATCGGCACTGCATATGGAAAAAATACAAGAATACAATAGAAAAACAAAAAAGGTTGGGAGCTGAGCAGACACGCAGCCGGTCATGGGCGCCATCTTCTTCACCACTTCACCACCAGGGCAGTAGCCTAAGGCGAGAGGCCCAGAATTACATCTCCCCAGCCACTTGGGTCAGCTCCTCCGGGGGAATCCCAAGGCGTTCCCTGGCCAGGTGAGAGACATAGTCCCTCCAACGTGTCATGGGTCTACCTTTAGGTCTTCTCCCAGTTGGACGTGCCTGGAAAACCTCACCAGGGAGGCATCCAGGAGGCATCCTGACCAGATGCCCGAGCCACCTCAACTGGCTCCTCTCGATGTGGAGGAGCAGCGGGTCTATTCTGAGCCCCTCCGGGATGACGGAGCTTCTCACCCTATCTCTAAGGGAGAGCCCAGCCACTCTTCGGAGAAAACTCATTTCGGCCGCTTGTATCCGTGATCTCGTTCTTTCGTTCACTACCCAAAGCTAATGACCATAGGTGAGGGTAGGAACGTAGATCGACCGGTAAATCGAGAGCTTCACCTTTTGACTCAGCTCTCTCTTCACCACGACAGACCGGTACAACGCCCACATCACTGCAGATGCAGCACCAATCCGCCTATCGATCTCACGCTCCAGTTTTCCCTCACTCGTGAACAAGACCCCGAGATACTTAAACTCCCCCACTTGGGGCAGGACCGCATCCCTGACCCGGAGAAGGCTTTCTACCCTTTTCCGAATCAAGACTAGTGTCTCAGATTCAGAGGAGCTGATTCTCATCCCAGCTGCTTCACTCTCGGCTGCGAACCGCTCCAGCGAAAGCTGAAGATCATGTTCTGATGAAGACAACAAGACCACATCATCTGCAAAAAGCAGAGACCTAATCCTCAGGCCACCAAAACGGATGCCCTCCACACCTTGGCTGCGCCTAGAAATTCTGTCCATAAAGGTTATGAACAGAATTGGTGACAAAGGGCAGCCTTGGTGGAGTCCAACTCTCACTGGGAACGAGCCCGACTTACTGCCGGCAATGCGGACCAATCTCTGACACCGGTCATACAGGGACCTAACAGCCCGTATCAGAGGGCCTGGTACCCCATACTCCCAGAGTGCCCCCCACAGGGCCCCCCGAGGGACGCGGTCAAACGCCTTCTCCAAATCCACTAACCACATGTAGACAGGTTGGGCAAATTCCCACGCACCCTCCAGGATCCCCCTAAGGGTATAGAGCTGGTCCAGTGTTCCACGGCCAGGACGAAAACTACATTGCTCCTCCTGAATCTGAGGTTCAACAATCCGACTGACCCTCCTCTCCATAACCCCTGAATAGACCTTACCTGGAAGGTTCAGGAGTGTGATCCCCCTGTAGTTGGAACACACCCTGAAGTCCCCCCTTTTAAATAAGGGGACCACCACCCCGGTCTGCCAGTCCAGTGGGACTGCCCCCGATGTCCACGCAGTATTGCAGAGCCGCGTCAGCCAACACAGCCCCACAACATCCAGAGCCTTAAGGAACTCTGGGCAGATCTCATCCACCCCTGGAGCCTTGCCACAGAGGAGCTTTTTAACCACCTCAGTGACCTCAGCACCAGAGATTTTAGAGGCCAACCCAAAATCCCCAGACTCTGCTTCCTCACTGGAAGACGTGTCGGTGGGATTGAGGAGGTCTTCCAAGCATTCTGCCCACCGATCCACAACGTCCTGAGTAGAGGTCAGCAGCACACCGTCCCCACTATAGATAGTGTTGGTAGCGCATTGCTTTCCCCCTTGACAGCATCCCTAACTGCCGGTGTCCACCAGCGGGTTCGGGGGTTGCCACCATGACAGGCACCGACGATCCTGCGACCACAGCTCCGGTCGGCCACCTCAGCAATGGAGGTATGGAACAGGGTCCATTCAGACTCATTGTCCCCCTAATCTAACCCCCGGAACATTTTGTAAGTTCTGTCGGAGGTGGGAATTGAAGCTCCTTCTGACAGGAGACTCTGCCAGACGTTCCCAGCAGACCCTCGCGATTCGTTTAGGCCTGCCTGGTCTGACCGGCATCCTCCCGCACCATCTGAGCCAACTCACCACCAGGTAGTGGTCAGTTGACAGCTCCGCCCCTCTCTTCACCCGAGTGTCCAATACATGCAGCCGCAGGTCAGATGAAACAACAACAAAGTCGATCATCGAGCTGCGGCCTAAGGTATCCTGGTGCCAAGAGCACATATGGACACCTTTACATCCGAACATGGTGTTCATTATGGACAATCCATGACTGGCACAGAAAACCAATAACAAATCACCACTCAAATTCAGATCAGGGGGGCCGTTCCTCCCAACCACACCTCTCCAGGTCTCACTGTCGTTGCCCACTTGAGTTTTAAAGTCCCCCAGCAGAACGAGGGAGTCACCGGAAGGAGAGCTTTCCAGCACCCCCTCCAAGGTCTCCAAAAACGGTGGGTAGTCTGAACTGTAGTTTGGTGCATAAGCACAGACCACAGTCACAACCCGTCCCGCCACACGTAGGCGGAGGGAGGCTACCCTCTCATTCACTGGGGTAAACTCCAACATACAGGCACCAAGATAGGGGGCAACTAGTATGCCCAACCCTGCTCGGCGCCTCTCAGTGGGAGCTACTCCAGAGTGGTAGAAAGTACAACCCCTCTCAAGGAAACTGGTTCCAGAGCCAGAGCCATGCGTTGAGGTGAGTCAGACTATATCTAGTCGGAACCTATCAACCTCACACACCAACTCAGGCTCCTTCCCCACCAGAGAGGTGACATTCCATGTGCCGAGAGCCAGCTTCTGTAGCCAAGGATCAGACCGCCAAGGTCCGCGCCCTCGACTATCACCTGTCACACACTGCACCCTACCCCTTTGGCCCCTCCCACGAGTGGTGAGCCCATGGGAAGGGGGACCCACATTTACTCTTCGGGCTGTGCCCGGCCGGGCTTCATGGGTGAAAGCCTGGCCACCAGGCGTTCGCCAAAGTGCCCCACCTCCAGGCCTGGCTCCAGAGGGGGGCCCGGTGACCCACGTCCGGGCGAGGGAACACAGTTTCCATTTATATAATTAATCATAAGAGGTGTTGTAACAATTCTGCTTGGTAATTGTTTACTACTGAATTAGTCACCGTTCCCATGATGTAGGATCATATATCTGTGAAAAAAGCACCACACTTTAGCATGTAAATAGTACTTCCAAAAATGGGCCAGAATCCTCTGCAGTATCCTCCTGTAGGTATTTACTCAAGTTTTTCCAGTCACATGCGTGTGGTTGGTTGGCCTCCTGGATGAGGAAAAGGATGCCATTCTACAGCAACATATGACCAGGTTTGTGGCCAGCATGAGAGGGAAAAGGCAAGCTGTTGTGGCTGCATATAGATATTTCTCACACTACTGAAGTCCCTGACATTTTCAAATGAACAAAATCGAAAAATTAGGAACGTGTGTAGATTTTTTTGTTTACTGTGGGAGAGTTCAGTCAGCCAATTCATCATGGAAGTCAGAACAAGAGTAACCAACACTCAAATGATCACTTTAGAACTAAGACACTGTTCGTATGTCATGTTAAAAATAACTTACCTGTACTTCTGGAGAAGCTGAGGAAAGCTCAATGGAGTCTCCAAATGCAGCCATGGAGAGACGAACCAAGTTGTGAAGCATTTGTCTATGTTCTGCATCTCCTCGACTTTCTGATGTCTTTGGCCTCCTTAAAGTTGTCTGAGATGCTGAGATTGGTGAATTTGTCTTGTCACCTTCAGGGTGCAGTTTATTCCGCTTCAAAGTGCTGAAATGTGAGACTAAAGAGGATGATGATGAAGGATTTCTGGATTTGCTCAAAGTCTGATATGATGTGGCTGGTGTCAAAGGCAAAGTGCCATCTAGTTCTATGTTTCCGGGTTTCCTGAGTGTTTTACTATAGTGGGTGACATGTTGAGAGATGTCCGCATTTGGGTAGCCTTGGGAATGGAAGCTTGATGGTATGAAGTTGTACTCCCTCTCTGTTCTTTGATCTTCTGAAAGTGGAGGTGAAGTCAGCGCCTGGACCTCACTGTCCTCCTCAAGTGGCTCCTCTCTTCGCCCTCGGATGACGGGAATTAACTGGATGTCAGATTTTCTTATGTTTTTCTGTGGCCGTCGGGGGTGGCGGGTGTAGCTGGATTCAGCCTGTCTGCAGTTGTAAGCTCGATTGTCCCGTTTCTCAGGGCGGCAAAATGTTGTCACCAAAGCAATGGCCAGCAGAAGGAGCAGGCATGTAGCACCTAGGCAAATTGCAATCATCACAGTGAAGCTGAGCTGCCCTTGGCTTCCAGGGGATGAGTTCCTGAGGTGGTCCTTGAGGTTAATGAAAGTCACCTCTAGAGTTGCTTTAGTGGCCAAACTGGGAGTGCCCATGTCAGACACAATAAGGTCCATTTTGAATGTTCTCCCAATGAGCTCAGTGGCATTGGTGATATTGACAAATAGCTGGCCTGTAGACTGATGCATCCAGAAGAGGCCATTTGTGTTAGTGATGAGGTACTTCAGGTTTCCATTGAGTCCTGAATCTAGATCCTCAGCTTTTATTGTCGATGCAAGAAATCCAGTGAATCCTTCTTTGACTGAGTGATGAACTGGAAACTTGGTTGCTCCACTTCCTGTGCCATTCCCAAGTTCAGCCACGATTTCCCCTTTGTATGCATTGACTGGTACACTTACAGAAACAACCCCTTTCCTTGGTTTTGGCTCTTTGATGACTGGGTTGTTGTCATTTACATCCTCAAGGTCAATCTGAACAGTGGTTGTACCTGTAAGTGGTGGATGTCCATGGTCCACAGCTGTGACAATGAAAGAGAAGGTGCTAGATTCTTCAAAGTCCAAAGGGTGGTGGACCATTATGATTCCAGATGTTGGGTGAATGGAAAAATAATTTATTTTTGCCTTCTGATCATTTGGTTTTTTGATGGAGTAGGACACTTTTCCATTCAGTGTCAAGTCATCATCACTGGCTTTAACTTGGAGAACTTTGTAGTTAGCAACATTGTTTTCTTTAAAGGACATTTTATAAAGGGAGGTAGAAAACACGGGGGCGTTATCATTTTCATCCAGAACAGAAACAGGCAAACGTTCAATGGAGGACAAAGCAGGAGTTCCGTGATCCTGAGCAAGAAGTGTGATATTATAGTTCATAACCTTCTCTCGATCCAAGTACCCACTGGTAACAATCATGTAATTGTCACCATGGATCTGTTTCAGGCGGAAAGGGCCAGATCCTTCCTGAATGGATGCACTCACTTTTCCATTTTCTCCAGAATCTGCATCGTAAACTGTCACTAGAGCAAGATAAGTGTCTAATGCAGCTCCTTCCTGCACGGTAGCAACAGCTGAGGAAGGTGAGGTCCAGGTGGTGTGAATCCTTGGTGCGTTATCATTAACATCTGTGAGTTTAATATGCAGTATACAGTGAGCTGGGATCCCATTGGGACCATTGTCAGTGGCCTGTATGATTAACTCATACGATGACTGGTTTTCATAATCCAGGGGAGCCTTTACAATCACGTCTCCAGTTTGGGAATCTACATGGAAGAGTTTTTGAACCTCTTGGCGAGAGTGCCTACTGAATGAGTACTTCACCTCTCCATTGGCACCTTGGTCCGGGTCAGTGGCTTTTAGCTTGATGATAGTTGTTCCAAGGTCTGTATCCTCACTTAGTGTGACAGAGGGACTGCTGTCTTCAAAAGTTGGACTATTGTCATTAGAGTCTTGGATTATAACCCGAACTAATGTACTCCCAGAATTTGGTGGATTTCCTTTATCGTATGCCACCAAGGTGAGGTCAAAGAAGTCTTGAGACTCTCTGTCTAGTTCTTTGATTACCACAAGCTCTGCCTGTTTTGTCCCTCCTGGAGCAGATGACACATCTAAAGCAAAGTGTGAGTTGACCGACAGAGAGTAGGTCTGGAGGCCATTGGGTCCTGCATCAGGATCAATTGCTCGGTCTAAAGGGATTCTCATCCGAAGGCCGGCAGTCTCTGAGATCTCCACTTCCTGTAGATCACTGGAGAAGCTGGGGCTGTGATCATTCAGGTCCATCACCTCCACACGAACTCTCAAGCAGTTCATCACTCCACTTTTCCTGTAGAGGACGCTGAAGGCTACCTCACACAGGTCCGATCCACGGCACAGCTCCTCCCTGTCGAGCCGGCCCTGGGTGGAGACAACCCCATCCCGGGGGGTTACAGAAAAAGGAAGGGCCTTTCCCTGCTCCACCACGTGGAAATCCTCCAGAAGACCAACTTCATCCCTCTGGCGAAGGTCGTCCACCAGACGGCCGACCTGTGTTCCTATGGGCTGCTCCTCCCAAACACGATACTGAATAGTTATCGAAGATGACTCAAAGGAGAAAATCTCCAAGCAAAGACTCTGAACCAGAACCAGAGTCAGCAGCTTCATGATGTAGAGTAAAACGTTTCATTCACCTACTCACTGAACTGACATATTTTGTCTAAAAGGTGTCTCAAAAAAAGAACTCTAAGCTTTAAATTAATCACTGAATTATTTTTGGGAGAAGAAAAAAATGTCTGTTTTGCCAAATAAAACACTGATAATGTTAAAAAAAAACAGATTTCTTCCTACTTGATAAACACCCACAACCCCATAACTGTGGCAAACTGCTGGCTTTGTGCAACAAAAAACTAAAAAAATTTAAAAAAAATGCAGAAACCTAAAATTAAGATATCATCACATCTCTTTTTAAACTCACAGCCTCTCTCTACCTATTACTCACTCAAACAGCTGCTGGCGTCCTGCCTCTCAGTTCATCCTCAACTCAGACAAGTTTTCCTCCAAATGACAAAGTTTGGAAATGTGCTTCCCCATGCCGGCGCAGCTCCAACCAATCCAGGACTAGGAGGTGGGTCGCATGCAAATGGATCCCAACCCAACACAAAGAGAAGTCCTAGTGCCCCGAGGAAACTCTGCACAACTCTGGAGTGCTTTCACAGAAACACGACACTGCCTCCCCATCACTTACACCCCCCCACAACCCCCCCCCCCCCCCCCCCCCCCCCCCCGAAGGTCTTGAGCTGTCATGTGAAAGCTAAAATCGCCCTGAAAATTAGTTATACCCCAGTGGGACGACAGCCTGAGGCCGTCGGACATTTACCTGAACTCTATCAACATGACGTGCAGTCTGACCTTTTGACAGCAAACACATAAACACAGATTGAGTGATAAATTCTCTAACAAGATAATTTTTTGTTGTTTTTAACAACATTTGAGTTTATAAAATCTTTTTTTTACCCATAGCTGATTTTCCAGGAATGAGAAACATGTTTTGAGGGTTAAACCAGCAATGAAGTGAACGCTCAAAATGCAGAAGTCTGTTTTTAATGTGACAAAAGCCACATTCCTCCGTTCCCCCAAAAATAATTACAGAGAATTTCATCTTCAACCACATGGTCACAGAGGTCAAAACATCTCCAACAAATCACAGCAAATGCCTATTTCTGTCATTCCACAGCCGCTTGTTTGGGTGTTTGGGTTTTTGGTAGAAGAGCAAGCAATTGAAGAGATGGGAAAACTTCTGTTTTGTGACTCTTTTGAGTTTTCTGCTAATGGAATATTTACAACCTGATTATCTTTCATAGTATTTAATAATTGTGATTTGTTCTTTTTATTTTTTTTACTCAACTATAGAGTTTGACATGCAGTTATTGGTTGTTTCTCTTGTGTAAAGATTTGCACCCTTTTACCACAAGGTGAACCTGCAGCAGAAATGTCCAGCAGCTTGGGGAAGCATTCTCTACACTATATACTTTTAGATTGATAATCTTAATGCTCTTGTCCTCAACATGATTTAACAAGATTCCTTTTCTCACCATAAACTGTGTTAGTGCTGGATTCAGTTCCCAGAATGCCCTGCAGGTCGACAGAGTCACTTCGAGGAAGGTTCAAGCATATCATTTTCCTCTAGATTAACAGGAACGGGAGAGATTTCAGGCTCAAAGATGCCTTTCTGTCCTTCTGGCAAAACATACAAGAATGACATGGATGACAGAAGAGTTAGCTGAGAGGAGTGCACTTTTATTTTTCAGGTCAAATCAGGTGGGATAACAACTCAATTACATTTGTTGAATAAAGCAATACATTTTTCTATAAATGTAGTTGATGTTTATATCCTGATATTTTCCTTCAAACAGACTAATTTTCTTGTAATCATTTGGTTTCTGATTTTTCTACAGTCTTTCTGAAGGACTCTGGAATAATGAATCACAAAATAAATGATCCATAACCTCATTTTTCTAGGAACAAGATCTCTTTTACATTACAGCAAATGTATATTTGAAACTTTGACTTTCTGCAGTCTGCTGGAGCTACATGAACCTGAGAAGTGCAAAGTTCAGCCAATCAGTAGAGGTTATCTCTAAAACAAACAACATCACCCTTTCTGTCTGCTGCACATCAGTTAACACTGGGTGTGTGCGGAGCTCCAGTTTCTGCTGAAAGCTTTTACAGAGGAGAACGTTTCTGCAGACTCACTCAGTCTGCATCTAATTAATCCACCACCTGCATAAAAGTGTCAGTAAGAAAGGGCCCGCCTTCAGGCTTCTGTGTGTGCTCACAACGCTGAGGCTGTCTCACTGTGGTATTGATGGAGGTCCAACTTTTGGTTTGTTGTTTTTTCTTTTAAAGAAGATAATCTGAATAAAGCAGGGGAAAGTAAAAACTAAAATTACTTGTAGCATGCTGGTGTAGACTGTCATTCTTCCAGAACATGACAATCCTAGGAGTTTCTATCTATCCCTCTGTCTGACCGGCAGACAGATAAACCTATCGGACATTGTGGTGGTGGACAAACAACAGAGGGCAGCCGTTGTGGTTGATGTGGTGATACCAAGTGATGCAACATCAGGATAAAGAAGTACCAGGGCCTCAAAGAAGAACTTGAAACAACCTGGAGAGTGAAGACATCGGTGGTGCTCGTGGTCACTCAGGGCGGTAATCCCCAGACTGGAGGAGTGGTTGATGCAGATCACAGAAGAAACCTCAGACATCTCACTCCTGAAAAGTGCAGTTCTAGAAACAGCTCAGATACTGCAGACCCATTAAGCCCCCAGGCCTCTTGAGGACCCGAGCTTAGAAGAATGAGTCCACCCACGGAGGGTGAGATGGGAATTATATATACAGGTCTGTCACCACCTGATTGGAGACCGAACTGAACCTGTTCACCTCTGCTGGCTCATTTATCACCATCTGACCACCTCTTCCTCTCGTCTTCTCACGAGTCTTTACTCCTCCTCTTCTTTTGTCTTTACATTCTGTTTGAATGTTTCCTGCAGCAGGAACAGACCAGCGGTGGAGCAACAGGATGTCCTGCAGAGTAGCAGTCTACCGCCGCCACTTCAGCTCTAACAGCATTATTTGGAAGCCAACTAATTTTCATGCCATTTTTGTTTTGTCTGATTTCTGAGAGAAATGCTTAAAGTCCATCTGATGACTTGTAAAACTGCAGTCAGAGCTGTGAGAGAAACCTTCGCTCATGTTCTGAAAGCATTCTGTTTATTTCTGTACATCCAACTTCATACAAATTCTTGAATCACACATCTGGTAAAATCACTTGTAATAGAAAAAATAAATAACTTTAAATTTCATCAGTGTGGTCGAGAGTCATATTTGAATCACTTTAATACTTTTAGTATTATATTAGTGATAAGTTTGTCTGATAATAGTTTTAATAAACTTTTTAGAAGCTTCACAAGGTTTGTAGAGGCACATGTATGCTTGGGACTCTTATTGTGAAGGATTAAAAGAAGTTCTCAGTTCCTCTTAAAAACCATATCCTGACTTTTGTCTCAATGTTCTGAGTTTATTCCAGACACTACAGCCAGTTTAATGTTTTTTCCCAACAAGTCTCTAATGCTCTTTCTGCTATGTCCTAAAAGGAAAACAACTAAGGCACACATTAGAGATCATTTATTTTACTGTTTAACTGAACCGTGTGTGTGTGTGTGTGTGTGTGTGTGTGTGTGTGTGTGTGTGTGTGTGTGTGTGTGTGTGTGTGTGCATGCGTGCATGCATGCATCTGTGCGCGCGTGTGTGTGTGTATGAGTTTGTAAGAGGCATCTGTATACCACTTGGTTCTGATCAGAAACAGGATGTAATCACTGCCTTAAACCAGAGAAAAGGTAATGTGGGCTCATTTAGAGCCCAACCACAGCATGTGGACACCAGATATAAACATTAACACACATAAATCATTCAGAGTTTAAAGGTTTTGCTGCTGCTTTGTGTGCCTGTGTAAGCAGCCAGTATAAAGTCATTTCAGATGTTATGGATTTCTTCAATTTCAAAGGTAAAACTGGAAAAAGTACAATATCGTGCAAATGTCCATTAATGTGAGTAATCCAACTTAGACTGAGAGACCATCTAAAGGCTCAGGAACCCTTTGCAGGTGTTTAGGATTCATCAGCTGATTAGAATGTGGCACTTTCAGTCTAGAATATTGAACCTTTTCACAATATGCTAATTATCTGAAACACAATTGTGGCACTCATCTTAAAGGTGCATTGTATACAAATATAGTGAGAATTTCAGTGAGAAAATCCCAAAAGAGTCTAATGTTTCAGTCATTTTGGAAGAAAGTTTATACTGAAACATATTTCATATCCAGCTGGCTGCGGGGGTTGTCATTTTTTCTCTTTCAAAACAAAGGAAGAAGGGACATAACTACTGTTTGCCATCAGTGATTGGGGGTTGCCGTCTCTCCTGCGAGCTAATACTGCAGCGCCGACAATTGTAATTAAACAACGGCCGGCACAAAGCTCCAGAGTTGTTTAAGGTGGTTGCAGTAACTAAATGTTACCACAGGATTTAGTTCATTTCTACATGATGCACCTATAAAATGTTTGGACACTCCTGCTGTAGGGTTTAAGTTGTTTATTCAAGGAGTTTGCATGGTGGTGCAAATGGTAGCTCTGCTGCCTTGCAGTAAGAAGGTCTCAGGTTTGAATCCCAGCTGAGGTCTTTCTGTGCAGGCATCCACAGGCTAAATGCATGCATGTAGGGCTAACTGGAGACTGTTGTGTTCCAAATTATTAGACAAATAATCTTTTTCCTCTGATTGTCCACATTTATTAATGCAAACAGTCAGCATCATTTTCCAGGCATCATCTGTTAATTTAGCTTGAATCTTATTGAAGAAAACTCCCGATAACAGTATTTTTTCTAAAATATAAACATTTAAATTACTGCTCCAATTTTTTCTCACAAGTTTAAAAACTTTTTTTAGATTGTAAAGAACAGAAAATATTTGCTGAACTGGATTTTCTGCTTGAGCAGGACTGATGAATCCATCAGTTAGAGACAATGGTCCAGGTCCTGAAGTAGCAAATCAGCCCCAGACCATCACACTACCACCACGATTCACTGCTGATGTCGTTTTAGTGATATTTTCTTCCCCAGAGGTCCTGGGGCTGATGAAAAGGCTTTTTGGTAAAAGTTAGATGGCTTTTATCCATATAGATTCTGATCTTAGAGATTTGGAAACAAGTCTAAAAAGTTTGTGATCTACATCTGCTGGTGCTGGTTGAGATTCGGCTGAAACAAATGCTGCCATCTTGTGGCAAAACATGAAGCCACATCACAAAATACTAAAGTTGTAAAAAAATAAAAATAAAAAAAACTGTCTACAGATTGTGAAATAAACTTTATTAAACATTTGTTCACTGTGTGAAATATATTTCCCATTACAATATTTTTTATAGTGAAACCATCTACACAAAGCTCTACGAACTTCTGAATCAGAGCAGGCACTTTGTTAAAATTGACTCGTTTATCCCGTCAGCCCAACAAAAACAAGTAAAAACAACCATAAAAGCATGTGATGCTCCACAAACAGATAAAAAGAACCAAACAACGCAGCAATGTTGATGTATTTAGAATAAGATTCAGGATGCAGCATAAACCACATTTTATAGCTACTTTTTTTCACAATTAGGATTATAAAGTACCCAAATGCAGCTTTAAATGCTTATTTTTCCTGAATGAATCAAATTGATCACTTGTGTGTGACTGTCAAGAGAAAATGTAAAGGTAAACAAACAAAAACATTGTGTTCATGTCTAAATTCAAGTTGTATTGCTGAAACTTTTTAGCCAAGTCATGAAAGTTTTATGTGAATTTACACACTGAGACAAGCAGAAAAAATTATTGAACAAAATCAATGAGCTGCAATGTTAGACTGAAAGAACATTTACTCAAATATATCTTAGATGAGATGCCTTGTAGGACCATCTTTAACAAGCAAAGCAGTTTTAAAAACATTAAAAAGAATGTTAAAGCAGGTTATTAAAAAGCTGTTTTCCTAAAATCAAACTCTTCTCAATGATCTAAATCAGCATAGAACAAAACCAGGATTCCCATCTGTTTTCTTTTATACATAAAACTTATTAATGAGATCCTATTTCATGTAAAGGAAACTTAAATGCAGATCTAATGTATCCTTATTGATAAAAAAAGCTGCTGAGGACTCGAAACTGACATTTTAAGCAGCAACTAATGTTCTGTATTGATTTTATTGCAGCTTATTTCTGTACATCACTGCCTCCCACATGTTGTCCTGCTTGTTATCTTCTTAAGTTGAAATATTCTCTTTGTGAAACCGGTCTAGCCCAGTTCTCACCACTTTGTGGTGTGAATTCACGGAAACATGAAGTTGATGGCTGTCATAGCGTAGGCTCAGACGGAATGGATGGATAAACCAACGTGAAGACAGCCCAGCTCTTTGTCCTGCCTGCCCACAACTCCCTGGACCCGGTAATTCCCATTGGTCAGCCAGTAGGGCAGGTCCATGTAGGGCAGGTAGAAGTTGGACTCTGGCAGCGAGTATGTACCCTGACAGAGAAAGATGTTTAAAAACTCAAGATGATGAACACAACTTTTGCTGTAGTTGATCAATGCTAAAGATAAAAACTATTACATATATTGTATAATGTAAATATGAAAAAGAGCATTTTCATTTCCCATCCAGGCCTCCTGATCCGTCTTTGATCTGTTCTGCGGTGTAAAGATAAATTCCCCACCACGTTCTGAAGCTGGAACAGTTCATGTAAAGGACTCACAGCTTTGAAGGGGCAGCGGCAGGGCAGACCATAGGTGTGCAGCGGTTCAGGGCAGTCCTGACCAGGTGGGATCAGCTGGTTCAGGAGATCACATACATCTGGGTAGTGGCAGCTACCCAGCTCCTCCAAACAGGGGATTTTCACCCAGACGCCCACCACCTCCTTCTCCATAGTCACGTTCAGCTGCAGGAAAAAGGAGATTTAATGAAACGGAGGATGGACCCAGATGCAGCAGGTTCAGAGAACCAGAGACAGTGGAGGAGGTCCAGCAGATATCAGATCTTCAGCTTAAACTATGAAAGAATGTATCCTTTAAGACAAAGAAAGAAAGTGAAATGAAGTTAAACATCTGAAAAAAGCATGTCAGTCATTCATCAGTATATAAGAACTGTGAGGCTGAGCTCTGGGGACGTGGGTTTTAATCTTATGAAAAAGCAGACAAGTCCAAAAAACAGCCGTTTGTTTTATTGAATAAAGTTTTATCACACTGGATGCTTCAGCTACCTGGAACAGGATGGAATCACTTTCATTTATCCCATAAAACATAAGAAAGACTCAGTGGCGGCTGGTGAAAAATATTTTTGGTGGGGCTGTGCTATTTTTTTTATTTTTAAACAAACTTGTCCTTTCTGAGCTTTGTGCACAACTTCACTATTTCCTGAATTAAGCACAGCTCTTTTATTTCCTGTCTTACATCATTGGACAAACTGATTAATCCAGGTGTGACTGACTATTGGCACGCTGCCTTGCAGACCAACGTTGAAAAATACTGCATTAAATTGCACATAAAATAACACGACCATAAATGGTAAATAGGCAATGCAAGAGGCAAGTAACAAAAACATTTTGTTTAATTTCAACATTTGAGTGAACACCAAAAATTATGAGCAGGTTACTGTTACAGTAATGGTAGTAAACACTACTTAGACAAAATGCCAGAAATTTACACTGTTAAATATTTCTGGAGTGTTGTGCCAAGGTCAACTTTATACAAAGATCAAGTGGATGCATTTGTGTGTGTGTGTGTGTGTGTGTGTGTGTGTGTGTGTGTGTGTGTGTGTGTGTGTGTGTGTGTGTGTGTGTGTGTGTGTGTGTGTGTGTGTGTGTGTGTGTGTGTGTGTGTGTGTGTGTGTGTGTGTGTGTGTGATACCTCATTTGTACAGAAATTTTGCCCTTCTGTCCTTCTGAGTGGCAAAGCTCTCGATGAGCTTTTTATTGAAGTCAGGAATGTTTGTGACAAGCTTTTTTTTCCATGGAGAGCATGGCAAGAGCATTCAGCCCATCCTGTGTCATGGTGTTCCTCAAGGAAAGTCTTAATCCTCTTTAAAGTAGAAAAGCACCTTTCTGATTCGGCTGTGGTCATGGGTGTGGTGACAAGAATCTTCTTTTGCATGGCTCAGGACGGTGTGAAAAACCTGTCATATGATAAATAAAAAACAACAGATAAGTACATAGGAAACACTTTCATAGGAAATAATGTCATCAGTATCCTCTTACAAATGTCATATTTCCCAGTTTTTGGGACAATAAAACATTTCTGATTCTCAATCAGATGTTTTTACATTTGAGGTAAAAACATCTAATTGAGAATCAGAAATGTTTTATTGTCCCAAAAGCTGGGAAATTTGTTTGCTGCAGCAGAAGTGTAACAAGTAAACTGGAATCAGATTGATGTATGTACAAATTTACATGAAATACACATTTACGTGATTAAATATGTATAATAAGTATGTGTGTTGAAATTAGTTTTTACAGTTATTGCACATTAAACATGTTATTAAACTAATGTCCCGGTTTGTGGGACAACCAAGGATTTCTGATTCTGATTGTCTTGTTCACAGAAATGTAATGTACAGCTTACCTCTGCACCCAGCTGCTGTTGTTCCCTGCATGGCAACGTTAGCTCTGCTGCCTAGCATGGCTAGCTTCACTGTGTTGTTGTCCATGTGTGCCCGGGATGACTCGTGTTTCTTCACCTTCTCAGAAAAATGTTTCATGTCTGTAACTCCTGACTCATCCATGCCTTATCTGTCCCAGCCGTTTTGAATAACAAACACGGAAAGCAAAATAACGCATTAGCGTGATTGCATCCAGCTAGCCAAGCCATCCTGGTGTACCAATTTCGGGAGAAGCCTAGTGTGTACAGTTTACCTCTCTCCTTCTCCTGCTGGCTTATCTTTACGTCGGGCTGATCTGGTCCAAGCTCTTTGACATTAAGTTTTTCCACCATAGTTCTCCTCTCGAACGGATACTGGAGAAGAGACCGAACTGAATTCAGTGGCTGCTGAGATCCGGTATCCATGCTGGTTGTAGTCACTGGCAGCGTCCATGTTACATCTGCGTCACGACCAAAAACGACTCTGCCGAGTTCTACCGAACACCAACGAAACCTTTGGCGGTAGCTCCATCGCCCATCATGCTTCTGAAACGTTCTGAAACAACGTCGACGCTGATTGGATACATTCCCATTCCTACCCTTTGATATTCTTGTCAGCAATTGGACAACTGGTCTCGTCCTGTTTGGGCGATTGAAAAACAGCACACAGCCTCCACCGCTCGGCAGAGACCGGCAGAGACCAATATAGATATATATATATATATGATTATTTTTTTGTTACAAAACACACAATTAACTTAGAATATGTGATTATTGTTCATTTTATTTATTTATTTTTTTAAATAAAAATTAAAAACACGGAAAAACTGGGAGGGCGGCACCCTATCGCCCTCTACTGGCCAGCCGCCACTGGAAAGACTGTATTGTTGACACTGAGAAGCTTGAACGTCTGACAGTCACCTGCTAGTTTGTGTCTCTGGCAGGAAACATGCTGGAGAAAATAATAACTTTACTGGGATAATAGTTTTAACATTGATCCAGAGGCAGGTGAGTGTTTATCATTTATCGCCTCTGTCAGTGCGCCCCAGGGCAGCTGTGGCTACATCATAGCTCATCACCACCAGGGTGTGAATGTGTGTGTGAATGGGAGAATGACTGATTGTGTTGTAAAGTGCCTTGGGGGGTTCCAGAACTCTAGAAGGCGCTATATCAAATACCACTTTGGTTCAGGGCGAATCATGCGACAGAGTAGGCTAGTGGTAGAGTGTCTGCCCAGAGAGTGGGAGATCGGGGTTCAAATCCCAGTCAGGTCATGCCAAATACCTTAACAATGGGACCAGATGCCTCCCTGCTCGACGCTCAGCTTTAAGCGGCTGGATTGGCGGGTTAAACCACCAAGTTCCTGAGCTGCAGCTCACTGCTGTCCACGGGGACGGGTCAAATGCAGAGATGAATTTCGCCAGTGTGTGTTGACTAATGGGACTTTTGACTTTAACTTGACTTTAAATATTTAAACTGTGTGGTTTGTGAGCTGCCAAATTTCAGGACTGACTGAATCAAAACAGCCACAAGGTTTATAAGAATTGCAAACTGAAAAGATGAAAAAATTGCAGCTAAAGAGCAATAACTCCATGGCATCAGCAACTGACGTCTATTTTTAGATCTAGTGTGTTTGTGTTTAAAGTTGCTCGGACATAAAACATGCACATGAAACTTTACACCAGACAGGTCGCTGCTGCTGGGTGACGCCCAGTTTGTGCTTTTATTGTACGAACAAACAAACCAACCACCCGTGAACAGTTGAGTGCTAAAGAGGAAGCAAACTTAGAAAACACTTTTTTGAGACAACACACAAAAAGAAAACTAACTATGAAGTTGAATTTTGGTAGTTTACAGTGTGTTTACATAACAATAGTCATAATACATGGTTAGGATTTAGCATCACAGTGGGTTTATTGTCCAACAAATGTGAAAAACCTAAACTGTTTTGGCCAGAAGTTAGGAAGGAAGTAAATGGCAGCAGAAGCTATTACTTTTCTAAAATTATTTCTCCAAACCGGTCCAATCAAAAAGTTCTTTACAAAACTATTAATTCAGTTCTCGTTCCTCATGAGTCCAACTGCTCAGTTATTGCACCAAATCTCCCGGATCAGTTTCTAGATTTCTTTTCTGATAAGGTTCCCTCTATCAGGGCTAGCTTATCACTCCCTCTGCACACCCTTCCTACCTTAACCTTTAATACAGCGACCTTCCTCAGCTTTGAACCTATTTCCCTACCATGCCTGGATTCTTTGCTTCTGTCGATGAAACCATCTGGTTCCCAAGATGACATCCTTCCTCCGCGCCTCCTGAAAGAGGTGTTCCCAGCTATAGGTCATTATATCCTACACTTTATCAATACCAGTCTTATTTCCAGTGTTGTACCCCCCGTCTTCAAACATGCTGTGGTTCAGCTGCTTCTAAAAAAAAACAGGCCTTGACGTCTCGTTTCTTTCTAATTTCCAAGCTTCTATTTCTGGCAAAAATTCTGGAGAAGGTGGTCTATGATCAGCTATCAACTCATCTAGCCGATCATAACATAATGGATGTCTTTCAGTCAGGTTTTCGACTCCTGCACAGCACTGAGTCCTCTCTCCTCCGTGTCTTCAATGACATTTTTATGGCTACTGATTCTGGCTCCTATGCTGTGTTATTACTTCTCGATCTGTCCGCCGCCTTTGACACGTCGACCACCACATCCTTTTATTACGCTTAGAGGAGGTTGCTGCAATACGTGGTCCAGCCCTAACTTGGTTTAGGTCTTATTTGTCTAACAGGTCCCAACAGGTGGTGTTGAACAACATCTCATCTCATCTCGCTTTGCTCCTCTCTCGTGTGGGGTCCCGCGGGGGTCTATTCTGGGCCCTTTGTTGTTTTGTCTTTACCTCCTTCCCCTCAGCTTACTCCTAAAAAAACACTCTGATCAATATCACTTATATGCTGACGACTGTCAGATTTACATGTCGGTGAAACCCCAGCAATCCATCCAGCCTCTTCTAGACTGCCTACGTGATGTGAAATGTTGGCTGGCCACAAATTTTCTGCATCTCAACAATTCCAAGACTGAACTGATCCTGTTTAATCCGGTCAGATCTAGCTCATTCCAAACCCCAGATCTTTCATCTGTTTCTCAAAATCTAAAAACCGTTGTGACAAACCTGGGTGTGAAGATGGATTCATCTCCAAGGATGGACGCCCAGGTCAATGCCACTGTAAAATCTTGTTTTTTACAACTCTGCCATCTGTCCAAATTAAGAGCCGTTTTATCTAGAAAAAATTTGGAATCAGTTGTTCATGCCTTCATCACATCTAGGCTCGACTACTCAAATGCAATTTTGCTGGGTGTCAATAAGTCAACCCTTGCCAGACTTAAACTCGTTCAAAATGCAGCTGCTAGATTCCTAACACGTACTGACAGGCGCCAGCATATAACACCAGTTCTCAAATCCCTTCATTAGTTGCCCATCACTTTCAGGTCCAATATAAAATGCTACTTTTTGTTTTCAAATCCCTCCATGGTCTTGCCCCCGTGTACTTATCTGATCTTCTTTCAATTTATACTCCTGGTCGCACACTCAGGTCCTCCAGCCTGATGCTCCTCGAGGTCCCGAAAGCGTATTACAAATCATGTGGACAAAGAGCTTTCTCTGTTGCGAGTCCTAAACTGTGGAACAAACTTCCAGTCACAGTTCGACTGGCATCCACCTTGGCAGATTTTAAGTCTAGTCTAAAGACACACTATTTTACCCTTGCTTTTAACAGTTAGCTGTTAGTTTTGCTTTTACTACTCTTATTTTATCATCCATTGTAAGGTTTTTATTGGTACTTTTTTATCGGCTTGTCTTTTTTATTGTTGGCTGTATTTTATAGTACTGTTTTATGTTTTTTATCTCTATTATTGTGCGACTGTTCAGCACTTTGGTCAGCCGTATGGCTGTGTTTTTAAAGTGCTATTTAAATAAAGGTGGTATGGTATGGTATGGTATGGTAATACTTAAGGATATTTTTTAGATATCTGTACTTTACTTGGGAATTTACATTCCTTGTGATGTTTTACATTTATTCTCCACATTTAAACACAAACATCTGAACTTTCTACTCTTACATTTCCCAAACCACCATGTTAATTCTGCACATATCAATGATAATGTAAAGGTCGTAAAAAAAACAGGCTCTGCTGAAGCTAAGAATGCTTAATATTTTTGTTAAAAGTCATAACCATGACAGAAATCCCATTATCTTCAGGGTACGCAAGAAAAAACAAGAATGCAACATATTTAAACAGAGAAAAATAAGTTCATTGAAAATTTGTTTAAAGACCTGGAAGAGTTGTTTTTAGAGAATTAAAACATACTTGAAGTTTTCATGTCTTGGTTTTAAAGCTCATCATTGCACAGACAGCACTTTAAAACCATCTTTAATAGTTTTTTCTTTCATTTAGATCGCACAGCTGCCCTTAACAAAGTAGATTACAAATTCTCAATTTCACTGAAGCAATGCACTGAATTTGAAGCAGCATGATGGTAAATCTGCAAAACAAGTTATTCTTTTAAACACAAGCATGTTCACAGAACTCTCAACACTCCTGTCAGCTATCATCCCTAGATCACGTTCACCTGATACAGCAACGCTCATTCCCAGAGTAAACAAGAGAGTGCTAAACACCAGTCACCGTTTTCTAGGTCTAAACATCTTTTGTTGTCCATGATTTCAAATAGTGTTTTTCTTTTTGGGAGTCTTGTAGTTTGTTCTAAAACTGAAGTGGTAGAAGCCGGCTGTTTCTTGTTCTCTGATATTATTGGGTCATAAATGTCTCACACCAGTGGTGTTCTGTTGCTAAATGTGCAAATGCATAATGAAGGAAGAACCCTGGTAAATGTGGAAGTCTGGCGGTTCAGTGAGACAACCGGAGGGTCCAATCAGTAATTTTAGACAGAGCCATGTCGTTGGCTAAAGTTTTTATACAAATGTGAGAGAACCACTTCATTTTTTTTTATCTCCACAATTTTTTTATAGCTATACAATGTTAGAATGTTGTAAAGAGTCATGGCATTTTTTAAGCTAGCTTGTTTTAAAGATTTGCCATTGTAGCTTCAAGTCTGATCCTTGCATTTTAAATATAGTGAGAGTAGGGTCTTTTAGGCCTTCTTTTGTGTGTCTTTGTTGTTCAAGAGTTGTCTCTTTATAAATTTAAAGGTTTGTTGTGTGCTTGAGCAAGACACATTAAGGTTATTATCTGTAGGTTGTTGTCAGGTTATTTTGTATGTCAGCTGATGCGGGCATTAAACTAGATCAGTTCTGAGATGAGTCAATGGATTCCAGACTTGTTATTAAATCTGGTTCTGTGGAGCAACACTTTCACAAACATTGCGTTTGTTCATTCTGCATGCTGTGGGAAGGCCTTCTCAAATTTGTTTTGCACAGATTAAAATTAAGCTGCAAGGTAAAGAAGGTCTAGCAGCCAACACGACCGAGCTGAAATCAGCACAGACTTAAAACACTCACAGGCAGCGGAGAGGAGAGCTCCAGAGACGTGGACCCAGAGGCGGAGGCTGTCAGTAATCCTGGGATGGAGATGGGGTCTGGAGACAAAGCCAGGGTCTTCATCACAGCTGGATCATCTGGGCAGCCGCAGTTTTTCCAGTCAAAACCTGAAACCTGCACAGAGCATGACTCCAGATGCGTCACATCACCATGACAGAGAAACTTCTTTCCTAGTCTGTCAGAAAGACTCCAGTTCATTTCTCAGCCGACTGTAAATCAACAGGTTCAGACTTGAAACCTGAAGAAAGGAATTAGGTCCCAGGTAAAACTGTCAAGGGTCTGTTTATTTATTTATTACTCTCTGAGTGGAGCAATTTCTGTATCTTTGTGTGTACACAATCATACTGAGCCTGTTGGGAATAAAAAGTTTTAATGGTCTGGAAGTTCACAGTTTAATAGTGTAAAAACTGTAAAAATGTATATCAAGTTGCATAAACCAAATCCTAAAAGTGCACACAGTCCATAGATTACAGTCCACTCCCATCTTTCTAATGATAACACACACTAAATCCCTGCAACTAACAGCAAACAACAACTAGAAAGGAACTGATAACTAAAAACTGATCAGTTCTTGATGGAGACTAAAACGGTCGTGACAAAAACAGTTCCTCTAACGGAATTCGGCTGTAACTCACCTTCACGTTCTGGACTTTTTTCATCCTGGAGTAGCTGCAATACACCTGAGACACAAATACGGTCAGAACCACCACCAGAACCAGCTTCAGAGACCCGAACATGCTGCTGGCCGTCACGGAGACTGCTGCTCAGATACGGAGCAACGATCCGCTGAAACGAGACAAGGGAGAACTGCCCCACTTCCGTGTTTACCGTCGCTGCGCTTGAGTCACGTGACCATTTCAACGTGACTCGCGCGACTTTTCTTCAGTCACTGGTTGTTTTACAGTTTTTCTCAGTTGCTTTGGTGCATTTCTCACAACAGAATTGATCTCTGCACCACTACTAAGGCTCTTCTCAAAACAATTGGTGCAAACTGCAAAACATGGTGGATAACTTGCAAAAGTGAGTCACTTCATCAAAAAGAAAAGTCAGCAAGTTCAAAAGCAAGTCCCTTAATCAAAACAGATAATATAGTCATTAAAAGCAAGTACTTATATATTCATAAAAAGCAAGTACTTATATCAATCAAAGTGTCAGGGCTGTCACAATTACAAGTCATTACACCAGCACCTTTGGTCACAAAATCAAATGGTTTGAACATGTTCTCATTGTGACAGTTTTCTTTGTAGGCATTGGCGTCATTTTAACCGGGGACGCCGGGGACATGTCCCCGGCAAAATTTGTGATTGGCAGCTGTGTCCCCCCCACTTTCAAAAACGCCTGCTGATGAGGATTTTTGTTTTACCAGCTCAGATCTTATCCAGGGGTCGGCAACCTATTCCCATCAAAGAGCCATTATTACCCATTTCCCACAGTAATTCTGGACTGACCTTAATAAGCAGTGACTTAAGTGAAGCAGGCAGGTCGCGCTAGAAAATTTAGTTTAAAAAGACGTCATAAATGTTTTCCCCCGTCATTTTTATTTATAAAATATGAAGTAAAAACTCACAATTTAATTTTCATTCATTTGTCATTAATATGTAGTCTACACCCGTGCGTTAACCATCTTCCAGTAAACGCACAGCATCCAGCCCACCTCTCCAAATGCGTAAAATGTGCATCAGCCGCTAGTTAGGCGCACCATCAGCTGATCAGCCCAGACAAGAGCAGAGCAAATAGAGACAGAATAGAGGATGATTCTGTCTGGATGTGGATGGAGATTACATTTTACAGCAGCCTGATCATCATTTAAATACGTAAACCATCACCTGTCTTCTAGTCCACGCTATCAGCATATATTTTAATTGGTGTGTGTGTGTGTGTGTGTTTTCCACTTCAAACACTGGTCTAACCAACCAGACCAGCGTGTCCAGTAACGTATTAATGTTACAATTAAACAGTTTCCCTTCATGAAGGCTAGGAACATTCCACCTGCCGTGGCCCGACCGCTTCTGCTCCACACGAACTTTGTGATCAAATGTCTCTACGCATCATGCGTCTCCATATTAGAGACGGGAACAAGCGCTGTTCAGCCAGTTTCATAATTTCATAAAAAGAACATTTTTCCAAGTGACACATCCCTCAGAGAGACCGGGTTTCCAGACCGCTTCAGTGGGAGGAAATCATTGCATGCACCATGGTTCTGCGCTGCGCTGCGAACCCCTCAGATCTTCAGCTCACTGTCCACCGTGGGCGCTCCGAGCCGCGCTGAACACAGTGTCCAGTATAAAGCTCTGATGTTCTGATGGGAATCTTTTACCTCCGCGATGTGCGTTAACGATTAAAATGTCAGCTCATCCATGTGCATCAGTGTGCGTGGGGGTAATTCTTTCAAACCAAGCAACATCCTTGAGTTCATCTGTCAAAATAAACAGTCAAATGGAAATATATGTAACCTGCCGTTTAACTGTTTTGCCTTCTTGTGAAGATTGTTGCAAAGAGAAACAATTAAACTTGATTAACCCCAGAGCCACCCAGAGCGCATGTGGGAAGGTTCCTCCCACTGAAGCGAGTGTTTTCCAAACCCGGTCTCTCAGAGAGACTTGTCACTTAGAAAATGTTCCCTGATGATGAAACTTTGGCTGAATAGCGCTTGTTCCCGTCTCCAATGTGGCGACACATCCAGGAGCCGTCTGAGGAGAATCCCAGAATCTCACATCGTCTTCAGCTAATAAAGCGCCTATGATTACGCGTCAACCCGGTCTCACAGTAAGACCAGGTTGGACCTGTTCAGGTTTACGCAGACAATCTTTACATTTAGAATTGGCATACAGATGTAAAATTAATGCAGTAAAATATAAAGCATTTTATTTAAATATCCATTCATTATTTTACAAACACAGAGCCGCATCAGATGGACGGAAGAGCCGCATGCGGCTCCAGAGCCGCCGACCCCTGTGCTAGCCTACTTTATTGTCCCCAGCAATTTTTAAACCCCACTCAAGTGTATGGTTATTGTCCCCAGCAATTCTGGAAACAAACTGACGCCCTTGTTTGTAGGTGCTTCCCAATGACATGTCAAGTGTGGACAGCATGGCATGGCATGTTGAAAACCATAAATTGTAAAGGAAAATCAAGACACTTCATATGCACTCTTGATAATATTTAACTGAAACTGTTAACAGCATTGTGCAACTGGGGAAATACAGTAAAACAAACATTTTACAGCAAACATAAACTCACTTAGACAGTAAACCTTACTGCAATAGTTATGAAACAAAAAAAACTGAACAGACACTGCTGCATATCAATCATTGATATCTAGACGATCCTGTCTGTCTGCCCACATATTTTCATCAACATCACAGGGAATCAGGTGTGTTCTTGCTGTGTCGTATCTCTTATTCCATGCTGTAGTTCTTTTTTAAAACACAGAACAGTTTTGTTACCTGTAACAAACAGGTAACAAAACTGTTCTGTGTTTTAAAAAAGAACTACAGCATGGAATCACAGGGAATGTCAGCTCTACCCATGCATTGGGGAAAATATCTTCTGGAGTGTCGAATCCACCCTCTGCAGGACTCTGCTGTGATGTCATCACAAGCTGCATCCATAGCTGCTAGCAGGGCCATTTGGGTATGTGGATGCCTGTCATATACCTTCCACCTCCAGGAAGAGAAAAACTCCTCAATTGGATTTAGGAATGGAGTGTAAGGAGGAAGAAACTCCATAAGCATCCTGCCGTGTCCTGCAAACCACTGCCTGACTACAGCAGAGTGATGGAAGCTAACATTATCCCAAACCACTACATACATTGTCCGATTGTCACCAGGACACATACCAATTTTCATTAGTGTGAGATAAGGTTCACCTGAGACAAGTAATTTATGGAGATTTCCATGGAAACTCATTAAAAATAGGGTTTTCAAAATGGGTGTACACATTGTTTGACAAGATGTTCAACAATTTTGAGTGCAATGACACAAGCAATGAAATGAAGACTATTAGTTGTCAGGACAATGACTATTCAGCCGGTACAAGTATAAATAATTGTGACATTCATGATAAAAGCAAGGAGATAGTGATGAATAGCGAGTCAAAAGTGACCATTCTTTAGACATTTGTACTTACTCAACTGCTTCATGTCCAAAGGCATTTGGTTGTGCCAAAACGACTACATGTTGTGGAGGTTGAACTAACTGTTGTGCAAACTTTAATTTTGTTGTGAGAAATGCACCAAAGCAACTGAGAAAACTGTAAACGTAGCAAGGTGGAGAAACAATCGATCCCCAGACTCCCAGGTGAGAGTCATGCGCGCTAACCAGTCAGCCAAAGGGACATCCCCTTGGCCAAGTAGCCAGGCGCATGATCAATTGGGACACAGTGACAGGAAGCTCACACTGTCACATAAACACGATCAACAGTAGAAGAATAGGACTTGACAGATAATTCAATTCAACTCATCATAAATGAGATTATATATATATATATATATATATATATATATATATATATGTATATATATATATATATATATATATATATATATATATATATATATATATATATATATATGAGAGAGAGAGAGAGAGATGATATAGATAGATAGATAGATAGATAGATAGATAGATAGATAGATAGATAGATAGATAGATAGATAGATAGATAGATAGATAGATAGATAGATAGATAGATAGATAGATAGATAGAAATTGCCTATATTTTTGAAGTCACATTTTGATGTCATGTAAACACTGAGAAGTAACAATAAACATGGGTCACTGAAAAGTGAAAAGTTTGTTGAATTACCTGTTCAACAGGTCATCAAGATCTGCAGAAGTCTGCAAATCACCACTGATTAAAATCAAGTGTGCTGAAGCACAGAAACAACTCAAATAAAACATGCTGAATAAGGGATCTCATGGACCACGGTTACAGAGTGCGTGTTTAAAACATTGAGGCACAAGTTTGACTTTTCGAGATGAATTTTCTAAAATTCAAAAATGTGTAGTTTAATTGGAAAACAGTATGCTAATTTAGTTAATGGATGGTTCTAATATTTAGCTATTCATTTATTTAAATTTTACAACAGAAAACAGCAATAGCATACATGAATTATTAAAACCTCGTTATCTCAGTAAGCCGTTTGTTTTTACAAATATCATTTAAGAGCCTTTTAACGTCAAATAGATCAAAACTGTAGTTTCAAAGACAAGCCTGTAGATGTCACTGTAGGACAGCTCCCTGATGAGCTGCAGACAGCCAACAGTTAAAACCTTATTAATTCTGAGGTTAGAATGATTATCAAGGACCAGCTCTGCTTTATCCGTGCTGTAGTCTGAATCATTTGTAGACCACAGCTAGCTAGTATATAAATAATAAAGCAATTTTAAAAAATGGATGTATGATCGATCTCTTACATTTTCCAGCACACAATCTGGAGGATTCTATACTTGTGTTTCAGTTGACATGTCTGCCACCTAAGAGGACAAAAACAAACCTGGAGTTACAGTAAGAACATAGTCCTGGTGTTTATTTCTCTCTTTTCCACCTCATCACTCCCATGTCCTACTATATTTTCTGCCAACCGTGGTCCCACGCTCACAAAGAAATTATTAAATTCATTACATATCTCTTTAATGTCTTCAATCATTTTATCATTTTGTCTAAAGCATAGTGGACATAAGAGTTGTCTCTCCTTTTGCAATAATCCTATTTAATTCTATCCACAACCCTCTATTTGTTCTACAGTTTTCTACTTTTTCACTATAATATGCAGTTTTAGAATTTCTCATTATGTTTATTAATCTGTTTTTATATTTTTTATATTTAATTTCTGCCTCTTTACTTATCCTCCTAATAAATTATTTATATAATGTATTTTTCTTTTTATGTACATTTATCAGTCCCTTAGTTTTTCGGTTTTTTATGAAACTTAAAACATAAAAAGTTTTGCAAAACAGCACAGAATGGTTATTATAACCCTATATTCACATTTTCTTTACAAAAACCCCAAAACCGCTTCCTGCTGGAGGCAGAGGGACATTCGGTTTGCTGCTAACTGAAATAGCCAATCGTAGTGGAGCCCATCTAGCCAATCAGAGTCGAGAAAGGCGGGACCTTATTTCTACAAGCGTTAGATTTCCTATTCTTGTCCTCAAAAACTCTTTCTGCTATTCAGAAAGTCAGCAGTTTCTGGACTCAGACAGCATCCCTGTCTGCAGGCCAATGAGGATGGTTCTCTGGAGGATAAAGATTCAGATGAAGATTATTTTATGAGACTGTCTCATCAAACATCATCCAACTGTGATTAATTTTCATGCTGAGCTGGTCCCGTATCTTGGAGTGGCATGACAAAGCTTAAGTTAAAAAAGATAACTGGTTTATTAAAATCAAGTCCATGTTAAATACAAGCATCAGTACACCGATGGAGAACCATGAAGCCCATAACTGGTTCTGCCCTTCTGGCATCTGTCCACTGCTTATAACTCTACAACAGGATCCCTAAAAAGTTCTAATTTGGTAAAGGTATATTCCTAAGCCTGCTTATAATAGCAAAATGTTATTGTAGGAGAATGGAGTCCCCACAGAGTTGCCTTGTAATCTATGACAGTCCCAGCTGTCACTCCACATCCTCTAAACTGGGATTACTTCTTTGGGGCTCCAAATGAAAAAAGATGACACATTCCTTAAGCTGCAAATACTACCGCCTTGTATGATATTATAAATTATTTTATGTACGATGTTACAAACCCTTAGATGGAAGTTGTGGTGGAGGGGTAACATAATAACTGGTATGACAAAGGGATGAGTATAAATAAAAATGTATTATATTAATAAAGAGTAAAATACAAATACTCAGTCCTTGACTGCAATAATACTAAATTTGCTCTATAATAGCTAAACGAAGGTGACGGGGCAGAAATCAAAACGCCTGAGGCAAAAGGCCTCATGGAAGAAAACACGAAGTTACTTTAACTAACGAAAACGCCGGAGCTAGATAATTAAAACAAATTCCGATGGCGAACGTATAAATACCAAAAGTAAAACGGAGCTCTAAAGCTGAAAATACAGAACAGAACTTCAAGCTTTAAAAGCAGTCAAATGGATCACAAAACAAAAACGGCTATTATACAACAGGATGTAACTAAAAGAACTAATTATCTTTGTCATCGAATATATCAAAGTTCTTATTCAAATACAAAACTGTTTGCTACAAAGATCCAAGGACCAAGGAGAGAAGGACAGGGTGTGATGCTGTGGTTCTCTCCCAGAGAACTGAACTGATGGCTGATGACTCTGCATGTCGTGGGTCAGACACCTTCCCCTCAACATGGCAAGTAGTAGTAGTAGTATTAGTAGTAGTAGTAGTAGTAGTAGTAGTAGTGGTGGTGGTAGCAGTATTATTATTATTATTGTTATTATTATTAGTGGTCGTAGTAGTAGTAGTAGTAGTAGTAGTAGTAGTAGTAGTAATAGTAGTAGTAGCAGCAGTAGTAGTAGTAGCAGCCGTAGTATTAGTAGTAGTAGTAGTAGTAGTAGTAGTTTATATATTTATAAGAACAAAGCTGTTTTTGAATGCAGCAATTTGCTCACAGTAAGAATTTTAGCTAATTTTTCACCTAAACAAACCTTGTCTACCTCGGAGTTAAGCTAATATTGGAGTTAAATTCTAAGGTTTCATTCATGGTTTGTCACGCATGCGCAGATTGTTCGACCCGCTGGAGGAGGGGTGGGGTGGGGTGATGATGCTGGAGGAGGAGGGGTGGGAGGATCCTGGTCACCGGCAGCAGTGCATTGACCTGCTCTCCATCCCATCATGTGTTTAAATCCAGACATGTGCTGACGGACCAACACCTCTTTGCTGCTTTTTTACGATTATAACGACAGAAACGGGATTATTTTGATCACCCTTTTCCAGGAAATGCTTCCATGCTCTTCATCCGCGCAGATGGAGGGATGCGACGAGGAGAGGGACGCTCACACGCAAACAGAGGTAAACCGATAAAAAAAAAAGCATTAAACGTCTTCTTAATATCGTTATTTTTCTGTGTTCATAACGTCGTTGTTTGAAGAGAAATCGGTTTATGTGACTTCTCGGCTCAAATGGGGCATTTTTGCGGCTCGTTCCAGCTGTGATCCGCCGGCCGGCTTCTCCTGGAGGATGGAGACATGAAAGAGACAGACCCCTCCCAGAACGTGTCGCCCTACTCGCCATTTTAACGCTCAACAGAGATTAAACCTACATTTATACAGGAATATATGTTTAACCCTCTCAGGTTCAAAATACGTTTTGATAAAAGCACGAACAACTAAGTCCTTCAGGAGTAATTCAGAGTTAAAAAAATGTTCATGAAATACATATGTGGAGTAACCAGGTAGGTAGGTTTTAAAGTTACAAATCTGCAACGCCTGCCTCCAGAGGGTTAAGACTATATTTGGTGTAAATATTGATTGAAGCTGTAAATACTGTTTTAAGAATAGCAGAAGCTTTGCTTAAGGTTAAAGGTGATATAAAAAATGATGATAGATAGATAGATAGATAGACAGACAGACAGACAGACAGACAGACAGACAGACAGACAGACAGATATTGTCCAAATAGAAGCGTTAATATGAGAGAAGCAATGACTTTGATTTTGAGGGCCTGTGACCTGCCAGTATTAATTTTGAAAGATTTTAAATGACTTGAATCCAAAACTGTTGAAAATTATGATTATAGAAGCATAAACTTCCATTTGAAGAATCTGTTATTGCTGATATGAGTTAGTGCAGAAAACAGATGTTTAATTGCTGCTCAGCCAATGGTGGTACACCCACACCCCTAGGGGGGGCATGTTAAAGTTTCAAATTGCTTAGTAGTTACAGTAAATAATTTTACTTTCGATCATTGTTTTTATTAAACAACCTCAGAGCTGAGGTTGAAGCTGAAGCAAAGACTGCATCAGTGTGTTGATGAACTGTCGCCCTCCTCCTGTTCTTTAGGGACATTGGAGCTGACAGCGTGTGAGAAAGCAGGTAGGGTTAGGATTAGGGAGCAAGAAAAACTGGGCCATGACCTCCCTGCTGAAGAGGGAGTAAATGGCATGCTGATTTTTATCTTAACAATAGCTTGATTTTGTTGCCTTTTATAGATTTCAACTTAAACCACTATTTTGTCATCAGTTCAAACCTCTTCGCTTTAAATGTCATTAGAAATGTGATGTAGGTGACAGTTGTAAAGTCATTAATGTGAAATAAAGCTAATCAGATTCAATTTATTAAAATCTAATAGTAAAATTAATGCTTATTATCTTACAGTTTCATAATACAACAATTTTATGTGGATAAATAGTAGAATTATTGTTGTTTAGGTAGGATAAGGTCATCAAAAAGCTCTCATATTATCTGTTTGCACTCCGAGTGTTTTGTGAATGACTCTCAGCTACTACAACACCAGACATGAGCTCAATATCTGTAAAATTGAGTTATAGCCATGTTTGTGTTTGTTGTGGGGCAGCCATGTTGAATTGTGTCTGCTCAATAAGCAAAGTATTTTAGGCGTACATCCAGTGATTACGTTCTCAAAAGTCTCAATCACATCTTTCAAGTGGTTCATGACATATTTACTTTTTTCATTAAAGCTCTCTACACGTTGCAGTAAGTTATATAAGAACTAAGGTGTGCTCTCCAAGTGGTCGACCTGCCCCTTAAGTTAAAAAGATGGCTTGTACTAATGCAAGCATTTATCCAGTGTTTCTTCTCAAATTGTTGATCAAGCCTGTAAAAAGAAAAGAAGATCAAATACCATCCATTACCTGATGCAGACAACTTTTTCTCTCTATGGTTTTATACTTTTCAAGCTTAGGAATCCATTTATTGTTGGGATGAGGAAACGATGAGAACTCTGGTTTAAATGTCAGATTTACCCCAGAACAGGAAACCGCTCAGCCGCTCCAGATGAGATCATTATAACTCTACCGCTAACTGATCGTCATCAGACCACAAACCGCCGATAAACTCAGCTGGGTCACGGTGGGACTCAGTTCTGAGGGAATGAATGAATCATCACACAGCTGATGGGACTGTTGGTGTAAAGGTGAATGCTAAAATCCACAAAGGAACCAGTGTCTTTCATTTTTCAGGTATGATTAACATTCAGATCCTGGCTTGTTCCAGGATGTCTGTAGAGCAGAGCGCTGGGAGTCTTAACAGAACTGGAAGAGATTTGGAATGGATGCAGACCGCTTTTGTATTTTCAATGGTTTCTGCTCTTTTTAGTTACTTAAAATGAATTTACATTCAAATTAAGTCATGCTAGCTAACATTTGCACTACATGTGGTTGTGAATGTTCAGCATGCTGGCCTAGCAAGGAGAAGAAACAGGAAACACTACAAATGATGTTCAGCCGTGACCGAACTGGGCTGTGACTGTCTGCCGAGAAAATTGCATTCCAGAGTTTGCAAATTGTGCAATTTTGCAAGGGTTCTCAGTTTCCTTGCATTAAACCCAGGGCCTTGTAATTGTGTTGTTGAAATTTGTTAGAAGATTCATTCAACATTTTGTAAAATCATTCATTTGGGGTGTCTGGAGCCCACCCTGACTCTGTCTAGAGCTTCTCTCAGTTTAGTTTCTGTAATTCTGAAAGTGTGAGAAACATCAGGCTCCTTTGGGGGAATTCAGCGACTTCTGAAGCTGGAGACAAAAAAAAAAAAGAGTGTGACATTTAAGATGTGGCTAGTGAGATGACTGCAGCTGGTATATCTCCATCGTTCTTCAGTAGCTTGCATTACATTCTGGTTTTGAGTAAAACACAGATTGGCTGAAAATCACATCAGTCGAGTGCCACTTTCCAAAGAAATAACCTGAAAAACTCCACAGATGGAAAGTTCTGTTTAGGAAATGTTTCTAAGTGTTGGTGTTCCTGATGAACTTTTGAATGTAACGTGTGCTCAATTGGCTCATGGAGCTGTCCATTAGTTGGTTGTTATGACAACAGACTAATGGACATTTGTTAATTAGAAGTGTGCAGGGAGAGGGTGAAAGAGAGTACGAGCAGATTTGAACAGGCGTGTTTTTAGATTTTTTTGTATTTTTTACTTTTGGTGACACAACTACAGCAACTGTAATATGTTAAGATACGTAGATAACCACTGAAGTAACTTGTAACCCTACTTAGTTGCTTCAGTGTGGCCCTAGCCCTAAACCTGGCTGTAGGTGCTAAATGTTTCTGGTTTTTACAAACGTTTGTTTGTTTAAACGTCTTTGGTGTGTTCTTTCTGTGTTCGGTTTCTAATTCCATTTTTAGTTATTTTTAAAACACAGGAAAGGTTTTTCTTTACCTGCTAACGTTTCGTTTGCGGCAGCAAACATCGTCAGAGCTGACGCTGATGGTGGCGTCACTTCCTTCTCCGTTTATCTGCGGGCAGCAAAGGACGTTGTCGCCCTCTGCTGCCCGCTCTCCCCTCTCCGACGATGCAGTCCCATGCGCGATCCAATGAGTAAACTCCATCGTCCCTGTTCATGGTCCCACATCCACGTCTCCTTATCTCGATAGCTTCTTTTTTCCATCTTTTGTTTTTCTGTTATTCAGTGTTTATGATCCTTGTGTTGTACTAGTCCATTACATGGTTTTCTCTTGTGCAGTGACCTGTTACGGCCGATTTCTTTATTGTGCTTTCTGCGTCTTGTTTTGCTGTTCTTGTGTATTTTCGACTTGTTTCTTTCTCGCACTCCTTTCTATGTTCTATTGTTCGTGTGTTGAGTTGGCGTCCGGTTTCTCCTATGTATGTTTTATTGCAAAGTTTGCATGGGATTTCGTAGATGACTCCACATTTAAGTCCAGCTGATATTTTGTCTTTTGGGTGTACCAGTCTGTTTCTAACTGTTGTGAATGGTTTTGTTGGTGTGTTTATGTTGTGTTTTTTCATTGCTACTCTTATTTTTTCTGTTATGCCTCTGATGTATGGTAAGGTTATCACTGGTTTTGGTTCTTGTCTTTTTGGGTTTCTGGTTCTTTGCTTAGGTTGTTCTTTTCTTTCTGTTGTTGTTTGCCGTTTTCCTTTGTTTGTTGCCCATGCCGGGTATCCGCAGGTCTTTAAAGCATGTTGTATGTGTTTGTCCTCTTGTTTACGGTCTCTTTCTTTTGTTATTATGTTTGTTGGGTGATATAATGTTCTGATTACTGACATTTTGTGTATGGTGGGGTGTTCTGATGTCCATAATAGATATTGGTCTGTGTGTGTTGGTTTCCTGTATGTGTTTATGTTTAGGGTCCCGTCGGTCTGCCTGGTGATTTTCATGTCCATAAATGCTATGCTGCCTTCTGTTTCTGACTCATAAGTGAATTTTATGTTGCCCGTGTCGTCAATGTTATTTAAGTGTTGTGTTAGTGTTTCTGTTTGTCCTTTTGGTATGATTTCCAGTATGTCGTCTACGTAGCGTTTCCATAATTTTATTTTACAGTTTGGGGGGGCAGTGGCTATGGCTTTTTGCTCCAGGTCTTCCATGAAAAACTTGCACAGGGTGGCTGATAACGGGTTACCCATGGCGAAGCCTTCCAGTTGTTTGTATAGTGTGTTGTTATATGTGAAGTAAGTGGAGTTAGCTACCAGTCCTATCAGTTGTGCTATGTCATCTGCTGTGAGGTTTGTTCTTTTGTGTAAAGTCTTGTCCTGTCTGATTCTGTTAACTACTATGTCTATGGTTTTTTGGGTTGGTGTTTTTGTGAACAGGGATGTGGCATCATGTGAGATGAGTATGTCGTTATCTTCTATTGCAGGGATTCCCTAAGTGTGGTGCGAGCTGCCTCTAGGGGGTGCACGAGGTGAAAAGTGTAATGGCTGCGGAGCTCAGAGAAGTCTGTCATATGTCACCATTAGCGTAGCCAGTAGGGCTGCAAATAACGATTATTTGGATAATCGATTAATCGGATGGGGTCTCGACACGATTAATCGATTAATCGGATTACATAGGGACATTTTTAAAAACTGCTAGGGAAACGTTATTTCTCTCCT